AAGATTTGATGTATCATTTAATGAATCAGTTGGATTAAATGATGAATCATAAACAGCAAAAATTAAAAATGGTAAAGAAAATATAAGACCTATAGCCCATATTAAACAAATAGTAGTTAAAGTTAATGTTTCATTGAATATATCATGAACCTAAATAAAATTATTCTTATATATATATTAGAGAAAAAAAAAAGAAAGAATTATACTTTAAATGGTTCACATATTGCAATAAAACGTTCAAAACTTATTGCTGTTATTGTCAATGAAGAGACACTTGTTGCACAACTTTCAATATATTGATTACTCAAACCTTTTTATTATAATATAAAATAAACTTTTTTTTATGGAAAAAATAAATCAATTTGAATAACTTACAAAAAAATTTCCCCATATACCATTGATCTTTTGCCCAAATATCATGTATAGCAGTTGGTATACAAAATAAAAGTACGAATACATCTGCTGCACTTAAGTTGGCAAAAAAATAATTTGTAAAATGTTTTAAATCATTATTTTTTAATATAACATATAAGACAATAAAATTGCCAATAAGACCAGATATAAGTACAAGAACATAAACAATCGTAAAAAAGATAAGTGAACTTAAAGTTTCATCTTGATTTGAAATTGAGTCATACTCATTATGATGTAATAATGTTAAATTATTGTCACTCATATCATTCTAAAAGTAGAAAATTTTATGATTTATCAAAGATAAATATTATCTAAGTAGTAAATTATTGTACTCAATAAAATACTTAATATGTCAATGATAGGTACTTTATTTTATTAGTTCACATCATTATGATGATGACCTGTTCTTATTATGAATTCAATTAACACAAAAAAAGAATCTATTAGAAATTCTTTTCTTTTTTTAAAAGCATAGACAAAGAAAGTAAAAGACGAACTTTACATAAATATGATAGTAGTGATGAGATGATATACTAAGAAGAAAAGATTGGAATGTGTACATAATGAAAGAGAGTTATTATAACCATAAGTCAAAGAAAAAAACGTGTTCAATCAACATCATTCATATTGAGTGGCATCTCTATACATTTACATATGTGATAATACTAATCAGACTCACATCAATCGCAAAAAGAAAAAATAAACAGATAACGAATAAGATACATAGGAAAAGATCACAATGTACTTACATAGAAGAATCTGTCAAATATCGAAGAAATATTATTTGAAATAAAATAACAGAAGAATCAATGTATCTCTGTCGTCTATATAAATATGTGGACAACGAAAAGATTGATAGAAAAAACTGTCATCTTCAAATGGCAGTATCGCGTATTAGAAACTAATGTGTTATATTCATTATAAAACTTAAAAATAGAAGTCTCTCTCTGTCCCTCTCTATTTATATATATATATATATACACGACTATTCAATATTGTTCTCTTTATTTCTAGCTTCAAGAAACGAGAATAACTATTATATTTCTTTCTGGTTTTTTCTTCTGATAAAGCTTCTCTTCTTCTTCTCCTCTGTGTTTCTTTTGCTCTTTATTTTGTTGTATTGAATGAATCAAGATAGACGTAAAGAACAAAAGAGCAAAGAAAGAAGGAAGGAAGAGATAAAGATGTAAGATGACAAGGTGGAAAAAAAGTTTTTTTTAATGGACTATTCAATCAATTATTTAAAAATTTTGTTCTTATATTTGACTTATTTTATATACAAAAAAAAAATCTTCTAAAGTTTATTATAAACATTGGATTGTATCATATCATCCTTGTTCTTTTATAGTTTACATGTCAACAATAATCTGAATATTGATCATAGTTAGTTACTTCTTTTACGTAGTAATTATATCATCTTATTATTTACGTATGTGTGTGTATGAATGTCTCATGTAAACATATATTATGTTTACCATGTTGCTTTATCAATGTTGCAATATGGATAATATGATCAGTACTCTATATGATATTTACGTCATTATACCTTTAAGCATATTGACAATAATGAGAAAATTAACCAATTATTTGTTTTATTAAGAAATAAATCTTTTTCTTTCGAATAAAAAAAAGTTTCATATAATTTTCTAGTGAACTATAAGAAAAGTATCTATCGATCAACGTCAAGCATGAAGTTATATAATCAAAGTAACTATCGTATAAGAAGAAGAAGCAAAAAAAAGGAAAATCATATACTAATGAATTGGAGAGTCTGTCATTATTATGCTTTTGCTGTGACTGCATACAATCATAATAATGGTATCCTTGGTTTAAAACAGTTGTTCCATCAAATCTACAGTATGTATATATGGCAAGAAGGTTAAATATAATCAAATAATGTTTAAAAAAGAAAACTATCTTAAGATGATTATTTACATAAATTTCCTAGTATGTTCAATATTGAATCCTTTCTATAAGAAAGAAAAAAGGAAAGGATATTAATACATAGTTATTTAATTCTCATGAGAATAAAAGCACTCATTTTGCGTTTAGATTATCAATTTATATGTTAAATGATTCTCTAATTCAATAAGTTTTACACATTTACATTAACAAATACAATAATAATTGGAATTATAAACAAAAACAAATAAAAAATCTTTTTAATTCTTCTCTAATGTGATATAATTCCTGACTAATTCATTTTTATTGTAAAAAAACGGATGAATATAAATTCAATACTTGTTTTTCTTATAATAATAATAACATATCCTAAGTAAAACTAAAAATTCTTTATTCATTGACTTTTGCAATCTTGTCTTTATAAATATCAATGAATTTTTATTCATCTTGACATGTCTTGATAACAAAAAGCAGTATGAATGCATATTTATATGTCTAGTCAGATTCACTCTTGTGTATTCCAAAAGATTTCTTTACATATTTGATCTATTATAAACATTCAATATTCATCAATAACAACCTTTTGTACTAAAAAAAAACGTGTCATATGTTCTACGTATTATATAAGAATCGATTTGATATTATTATTATCAACGGAAAATCATTTTAGATCTTGTCAAATAGTCAAGGAAAAGAATAATACAATGTGCACTTTTGACCTCAATGGTCGTTTTGCACTTTTGAAAGTATTTATATATTAAAATCTATTCCGATATACGCAGTTTTTTTATATAAATTGCTTGTTTTTCTATTAATAGTTTTTTATTACTGTAATATTTCATGCAGAAAAATATGTCGAACAATATCAATTATATATTATAAGACTGAATAATGACGAAAAAAATAGATTCTAAGATCATTTCACATCGTTTTATTTATTTGCATGGTTTGTTAAATTAATCATTATTTGATTCAGAATCGATTCTTCATACACAAAATCTGTCGGTTTTGCCAAAAAATAAAAGGATAATAAAAGAATATATGACTTTCCAAATGTCAGGTCTTCTCCAGGATACATCCAAAATGATTTTTTCTTTTCATTTGAAATTGCTATTCTTTATTCTTAAAATAGATATTTTATTTAATTATATACACTTTAAGTAAAATCTGAAGAGAATTTTAACGTAATTGCAAAAATTTGCCCATTTTCTTCTAATATGATCATTAAGAATAGTTATGATCTTTACTAATCTTGATAATCTGTTAATCTATAGTTTGAAGCATTATCTTATTCAATATATTGATCAATAAAATTTTTATTCTATTATCTAAAGTATCTTTTTATCAAAATAAATACCTTTTATTCTTACAATATAATTAATAAGTAAATACAATGATTAAATATCTTATAGAAAAAATCCTCTTAAATATCAAATACAATTTGAATGTAATGTTAAAATTTCTCTGTATAAGACAAGAAAATTGAGATTACATCAGAAAGAATGAATACTATAAAAGTAATATTTCAAAAATCAACTTTTTAAATACGTAATATAATATTAAAGAAAAACAAGTATTAATATTGCAAAAAAAGGATAAGATTACATCGTGCACTTAGGACTGTTTTGTAATATACTTGTTATCATCACTCAGAAGGAATATGTCGATAAATATTAAAGTTTTAAATAATTGACGCTAATAATAATATTTCATATTTTCTTCAAGATAGAAATTATCCTTTCCAAAGATACGTAAACGATTGAATGGATTATAGTATTAGTATTAACCTTTATCTGTCTATTGTTGTCTTTGTTATAAAAGTTTGATATATATATATAGAATTGTATTACTTTTGCTTATTCTTTTTGGAACCGAATAGATACAATTGGGTTCTTATAGATAAAAGTGCTTCCAGTAAATGGAAAACTAATATCTGTTGCTCTTTGACCTTAAGCAATTGTTTTTTTTTTCATTAGTATTTATTTCAACTATCGATTACCTAATACCTTTATAATCATACTGTTCTTAAAATATCTCTAAATACCAATTTTGAATGGATTTAGTACTAATACTTTTCAGCTGTATCTATTCTTTTTTAAATATATAAATTGATACTGCACATTGTCGTATTCATTTCAACTGATAATATTATCATGCGTTTACTAATTTTTCTCATTTGTCTCTTAAGTGAGTTTTCATATATTGACTGTATTATCTTATTTTCTTGACTATTTTCATAGATCCATTGAATACTTGGTGTTCGTCATTATCTCCTAAAGCTACATCAACTATTCTTTATGTTGGCACATATACAGGAGATGGTCCAAATGATAGTAAAGGGATCTATGCTTTTTCTCTCGATGATACAACATCAACGCTTACACCATTAGGTTTAGCTGTAGCAACAACTAATCCATCTTATGTACTTATTCATCCAACACATAAATATCTTTATGCTGCTAATGAAGAAGATAATGGTAGAATAAGTGCATTTAAAATAGATTCAGCTCAAGCAGGCCGTTTAACATTCATTAATCAACAATCATCTGCTGGTAGTGCTCCATGTTATTTATCAACAACTAAAATAGGAGGACACATTTTTGTTGCTAACTATGGTAATGGCACTGTTGCTGTTTTACCTACCGATGCAAATGATGGAAGTTTAAAACAATATACTGGATTTGATCAACAAACAGGTTCATCAGTTGATCCTGATCGTCAACGATCACCTCATGCACATTGTATTTTACTTGATAAAATTGAACAGAATGCATTAAGTGCAGATTTAGGTTCCGATCAAATCTATACTTATCGATTTTTTCCAAATAATGGTTCATTATTACGAATACAAGCTACTAAAATAGCCCGATTAGGTGATGGACCAAGACATTTAGTTTTTAATTCTAATCAAAAATTTGTTTATGTCGCAAATGAACTTAAATCAACTGTAACAATTTATAATTATTTTCCTTCATTACATTCTGTTCAAACAATATCAACTTTACCAGATGGTTTTACAGCGTGGAATTCTGTTGCTGAAATTCTTTTACATCCAATTTCAGAAAATTATCTTTATGTATCGAATCGTGGTCATAATTCAATAGCTGTTTTTAAAGTTGATAATAATATTGGACATTTAGAATTAATTCAACATATAAATGTTCAAGGTCAAACACCAAGAAATTTTAATATAACACCTAATGGAAAATATTTAATCGTTGCTAATCAAGATTCAAATAATTTAGTAGTTTTTTCAATTGATAGTACAACAGGAAAATTAACAGCAACTGGCTCGACTGCACAAGTCAGTAAACCAACATGTATTAAATATTTAGTTCAATAAATTACATATTTTGCTAT